ATTCAGAGCATTTTCATGCAAACGAGTTGCATTTTTGCATGTGATTCCTGCGCCAGAACAAGTAGCTAACCACGCAACACAGGCATCCGCTTAATGATGCCGTACAGAGCGCTATCATACAAGCAAACATATTCCGCAGAGACTTGCATGACCATTCTATTGGAGCAACTGCAATGAACTTCGTGAAAATTTTGTGCATTTCACTGAAAACATCCAGGAAATCGAAAGGTGTGTTCATTAAAATCTCTTCTTAAATGTCAAAAATGTGTGGGATTTGTAGTAGATGTCGTTGAATAAGGATAGGAAGTTCAATAATTGTATATTTCCTGAAGTGAAATGAACAACGTTCATATGAAATCCCATTGAATATCATTGAGAAATGGAAATACATTTTGAAAATGTTCGCTAAATTCTGTTGAAAATCACCTGTTCTTGAGTATTCTGAGCCTGAAATGTCATTCACATAAATAGGCTCGGCTGTCAGATCAAAAGTTTGCTCGACATATTGTAAGGATCGCCGTTTTCTCGTATATGCTGCATTTTGACCGGATGCATCCTTATATTCACCGGCGGCACATTGAGGTCTCTAAATTTAAAATTTTCAAGGGAATATCACATGTCACGAAGAATGCGCAATATTCAGCAGAAAATTAGCAGCATTTTCGAGGCAAATCATATGAAAGTATGTGGAAAAGCAGAAATTTCAATGGAACTTTCTTACCGGACATTTTCCACTGTCATATTTCTCCTTTAGACTCAACGCCACTTGACATTGAAAGAAAACATTGGAGTTGTCAGCAAATTTAAACGCCCTTGAGAGAACACCCGCATTCATATCGTTCGTATACGAGATTTGTGGGAAGATACTCTCATCTACACTACATCTGAAACGTGATTATTATACTGATTTATTATTATCACCATTATTATTATCACTATCATTTTTTAGTATCATCGTAACCGAACACTGGATTTATCTGAAAAAAAGATTCAAAAGGCACCTTGTTAAATCTCGTTACTATCATCGAATAGTTCAATGCTCATAAATATATTCGATGTGTCTGATTGTGAGTTTCATTCCATATTATTAATCAACAGTTAAAATTGTT